AAAAAAAAAAAAAAAAAAAATCTAATCAGGAGAAAACAACCTAACAATTCTAGAATATGGGACATTCTACAAGAGAACTACCCTGTTTTCCTCAAAGATGTCAATGTCATGAAAGATGAAAGATGAAATGATTGTTTTAGGTTAAAAGAGATTAAAGAGATACGCAAAGGAAATGCAATGTATGTATACACTGATGGGGTCTCAGTGACAGGCGGAGATGGGGAAGTACCTATCAGGATATTTGTGGAACAACCAGGAAAATCTGAATATAGATAAGATGACAGGATACAATCAATATTAAATTTGGAGGGTATGATAATGGCAACAAAATATTCTCTTAAAAATATATTTAAATATGTACACAAATACATACTCATACATAAAATCTACACATGTATGTAATCCAAAGTGCTATTTCTAAATGGCAGGTTGAGAATAACTTTTTTCCTTCTTTATATTTTCCTATAATGAATATATTGTGCATATTAAGTATAAGGCCAATATAAATTATCTTTTTAATTTATTTTCTATTACATAATCTTTTCTATATTTTGAATTATACAATATACATGTATTAACTATTAAAATAATTTAAATGTTGCCAGGCACAGTGGCTCAAGCCTATAATCCTAGCACTCTGGGAAGCTGAGGAGGGTGGATAGCTCCCATTAGTTTTATTTATCATAGTGGTTAAAAAATTATAATAAGCTATAGTTATAAAGAAGTCATTAAAAACCATGTCTTAGGGCCAGGAGAGGTGGCTCACGCCTATAATCTTAGCACTCTGGGAGGCCAAGATGGGTGGATTGCTTCAGCTTAGGAGTTTGAGACCAGCCTGAACAAGAGTGAGATATCATCTCTACTGAAAATAGAAAAACTAGCCAGCCATTACAGCAGGCACCTATAGTCCCAGCTACTCAGGAAGCTGAGGCAAGAGGATCTCTTGAGCTGAGGAGTTTGTTTGTTTGTTTGTTTGTTTGTTTTTGAGACAGAGCCTCAAGCTGTCGCCCTGAGTAGAGTGCTGTGGCATCACAGCTCACAGCAACCTCTACCTCCTGGGCTTAAGCGATTCTCCTGCCTCCGCCTCCCAAGTAGCTGGGACTACAGGTGCCTGACACAATGCCCAGCTATTTTTTGATGGTTGCAGCCATCGTTGTTTGGCAGGCTGGAGCTGGATTTGAACCCGCCAGCTCAGGTGTATGTGGCTGGCGCCTTAGTTGTTTGAGCCACCGGCACCAAGCAGAGCTGAGGAGTTTGAGGTTGCTATGAGCTATGACAGCCATAGCACTATACTCAGGGCAACAGAGTAAGACTCTGTCTTTTTTTTTTTTTTTTTTGTAATAGAGTCTATATTTCCTTTAAGACTCTGTTTTAGGAAAACAAACAAACAAATGTCTAAGAAAACATTTAATGACATAAGAAAATGCTCATTAGCCAGGCACTGCCAGTGGCTCATGCCTATAATCCTCGCACTCCGAGAGGCTGAGGCAGGTAGACTGCTTGAGCTCATGGGTTCGAGACCAGACTGATCCAAAAAGCGAGACCCTTGTCTCTACTAAAAATAGAAAAACTGGCTCGGCACCTGTGGCTCAAGCGGCTAAGGCGCCAGCCACATACACCTAAGGTGGCGGGTTTGAATCCCCAGCCCGGGCCTCCAAACAACAATGATGGCTGCAACCAAAAAATGGCCAGGCGTTGTGGCGGGTGCCTGTAGTCCCAGCTACTTGGGAGGCTAAGGCAAGAGACTCGCTTGAGCCCAGGAGTTGGAGGTTGCTGTGAGCGTGATGCCATGGCACCCTACCCAGGGGGATAGCTTGAGGCTCCGTCTCAAAAAAAAAAAAAAAATAGAAAAACTGAGGCAAGAGGATCACATAGCCTGAGTTGGAGGTTGCTATAAGTTATGGCACCACGGTACTCTATCCACGGTGACAGCTTGAGTTTCTGTCTCAAAAAAAAAAAAAAAGAAAATGGGGCAGCATATGTGGCTCAGTGGGTAGGGCGCCAGCCCCTTATGCCAATGGTGGTGGGTTTGAGTCTGGCCCCAGCCAAACCACAACAAAAAAATAGCCAAGTATTGTGGCGGGCACCTGTGGTCCCAACTGCTTGGGAGGCTGAGATGGGACAATCGCCTAGGCCCAGGAGTTGGAGGTTGCTGTGAGCTGTGTGACGCCACAGCACTCTACTGAGGACGATAAAAAAAAAAAAAGAAAGAAAGAAATTGCTCTTTATATTATTTTGAGCAAAGAAAGAGAATACAAGGCTGACCATGACCAATATTTTAAAATATTTTATATATGTATTATGTATAACATAATATTTAGTATTACATGCAAATATATATATAAAAGTCACATGTGTTTATTGACATAGCATATATTAAATATTTATGTTAATATCTGTGAACAATGTATATTTATAATTGATTTCGTGGCAAGAAATATAACAGAATACTGCTAGTGGTTCCCACTGAGTGATAAGGTTATGGATCACTTTTATTCTCTTTTTAATTTTTATTTTTTTTGTGTGTGTTTCCAAAGTATTTTTAAATTAAAAAACAAAAACTCTTGGCCAGGCACAGTAGCTCATGCCTTTAATCCTAACACTCTGTGAGGCTGAGGCAAGTGGACTGACCAAGCTCACAAGTTGGAGATCAGCCTGAGCAACAGCAAGACCCATCTCTAAAAAGCCCACTACAGGTGGCGGGCACCTGTAGTCCCAGCTACTTGAGAGTCTGAGGCAAAAGGATCACTTGAGCCCAAGAGTTTGAGGTTGCTGTGAGATAAAACACCACAGCACTCTACCAAGGGTGACAAAGTAAGACTGTCTCCAAAAATCAAATAAAATAATAATAAAATAAAATAAAATAACTCTTTTGAAAACCTCAGTAGAAATTCATTTGAAATCTAAACTCCCAAAGCACATCTCTATCTGACTCTTCAGAGGGTGGTTCCTCTCATTTTCAACTTGTCTATCACCAGTGGGAAAAATTCAGCCTTGCCCAACCTTCATCTCACTCTGCTCCAGCAGGATCACAGTCTGAACAATCCAGCCACTTCCCCAATGGCATCACAGTCCTCTGGAAGCTGCCCACATCTTCTGTGCCTCTCCCATAACTCAGACCTGATCCATGAGTGTGCCAAAAATACCTATGAATCATCAGGAATCTGAACAATAAACACACTCCCTGGAATGTACAAGGCAATTATACACAAATGTAATTAAAGAGAATAACTATTAAATAAACCAAGTTAGTGACACACAGCAGACAAATGGCAGAACAAGGCCTTCCTGAAGTGATTTCCTGATTTGACTGCAGCATGCGTCACGAGGTCTGTGTTATTTAAAAATTTATGATGCTTTTAACATAGATGGGAAAGAACTAGGGAAATATAACACACCATGCATTGTTCACCTAGATGCAAATAAGGAATGCTCTGCTTTCTGTTGGCCACTGGGAAAGCCCATTTTCCCAAAAGCCAGTTTTCCTCCTAAGCTCCCCTACCCTGAAAAACTCTATACTGCCCCTTCAAACAGCTTCTCTTAGGCCCAGCACAGTGGCATAAACCTATAATCCTAACACTATGGGAGGCCAAGGTGGGTGGAGTTGAGCTCATGAGTTGAGACCAGCTTGGGAAAGAGAGAGATCCTGCCTCTACTAAAAAAGCAGAAAAACTATCTGGGCATCATGGCGGGCACCTCTAGTCCCAACCACTTAGGAGTCTGAGGCAAAGAGTATCGCTTGAGTCCAGGAGTTTTGAGGTGGCTATGAGCGATGATGACACACCACAGCAGTCTACCCAAGGCAACAGAGTGAGACTCAATTTAAAAAAAAAAAAAAAAAAGCTCCTCTTGCCTACTTATTCTACTAAATGTGCTTGTTTTTTAGGTTGAATTGTCTGAGGCTTTAAAATGACTTGAAAGGAAGAAGACACTTGCCTCCCAGTGTAGCTGCCAGCTTCTTGCCACCAAGTCTACCTGCATCACTATGAAGCCTCTTTTACATTCTAACCCCCACAGGAAAGTTTATCACTTCCCCAGAGCACATAGGCAGGAAGGGGCTAGGCAAATACATCAACAACTATTTCCATAATGGCAATGCTTTCATGAAATAATTTCCACATCTGTTGAGAAGGAAAACACTGATCCCTTTCATTTATATAAAATCAGTCATCTGAAAAGGCAAACAAACGCAGGCCCCAAAAGCTTCAAAAAGAGCGAGTATAGACAAGCCAGAGAACGGGGAGGAAGGAATGTTTACGTAGATGGGGGAGTAGCGCCATCTCCAATCCCTTGGCGAAGTGGGTAGTGGCATCGTAGAACTCCAGCAGTTTAGTAAGCTCCAGCTCAGGCCCTGCCCTCTCCACTCCGGAGCTGAGGCACATGGGCAGGGAGGGCACCAAGGCCCCCAGGGTCTGGATCAGCAACACTGTCACCACCTCGTGGGGATTCTTAAAAACCTGCAGTGGAAGAAAGCACACAGAACCAAAGAGGAGCATAACAAATCTGAACACGCTCAGAAAGTAAAGTCTACAGGCAGCACTTTGGAATCACAACTTCTCTAGAACAAATGGCAGCTTCATGTCTATCACTGTCCCCAAGTGTCTCACTATTTTCAATTCTATCAAATGTTTTCATGTAACATGGATAGTTCCCAAAAATTGGCTAGAAAGAAGACAATGAAGATGACAACGAAGAAGTTGCAGAGGAAGAAGTTGCAGAGGATGAGACGGGAGGTGGAAACAAAACAGAATGAGAGAAGAGTAATTCATTGAATGGGTCTTTAAGCAGGATCACCATCTGGCCTACAGCCACCTCTCACCCCTTGACAGAGATCTCCAGTCTAAACGAATTTCTCTTTTATTCTTATGGACCACCAGGAATAGTATATCTAGACCTGTTTAGACTATTAAGTCACATAATCACCAATAGTCTTTTTTTTCACTCTACAACATAAAGATCTCTTGGGTAAAACTCGAATAATGTAGAGTCCAGTTAGATGGGGGAGGGGAAGTTCTCACAAACCTCCAGTGTTGATTATATTTTTAATTATAATGTATCTTAAATATGAACATATCTGACATGTGATATGAAAGTTGCTCCTAGGCCAAAAAAGGCATAAATTTTATTTATTTATTATTTTTGAGACAGAGTCTCACTGTGTTGCCCTTGGTAGAGTGCTATGGTGTCACAGCTCACAGCAACCTCACACTCTTGGGCTTAAGCAATTCTCTTGTCTCAGTCTCCCAATTAGCTGGGACTATAGGTGCCTGCCACTATGCCCAGTTTTGTTTTTTTGTTTTTTTCTTTTTAAGAGATAGGGTCTCACTCTTGCTCAGGCTCGTCTTGAATTCCTGAGCTCAGGCAATTCACCCACCTCGGCCTCCCAGAGTACTGGGATTATAGACATGAGCCACCACGCCCAGCAAAAGGCATAAAATTTAAAACTATAAAACCAAAAAGCTGGGTGCAGTGGCTCATGCCTATAATCCCAGCACTTTGAGATGCTGATGGAACTCACTTGAGGCCAAGAGTTTAAGATCATCCTAGGTAATATAGCAAAATCTCATCTCTATAAAAAAATTTAAAAAGCAGCCAAGTATGGTGGCATGCATCAAGTCCCAGCTACTTGGGAAGACTAGGGAAGAAGATCACTTGAGGCCAGGAGCTTGAGGTTACAGTAAGCTATGACCATCCTATTGTAATCTTGGCGAAAGTGTGATCTTGCCTCAAAAAGGAAAAAAAAAAAACAAATTAGGAAACTAATACAGAACACTTTGCACTTTTTAACTCATTCTGTGAGACTAGCATCACCCTGATATAAAATGCAAACAAAAACACTGCAAGAAGAGAACTACAAACCAACATGCCTTATGAATACACAAGCAAAAATCTTTAACAAAATACTAATAAACTGAATTCAGCAGTATATTAAAACGATTATGTACTACAACCAAGGAGGATTTACCCAGGAATGCAAAGATGGCTCAACATACAAATATGAATCAACATAATATACGACAATAGCAGGATAGAAGGGAAAAAAAACCACATGATATCTCAATTAATGCATATGTCAAAATTAAATGCTCTTCATGATAAAAACATTTAACAAACTAGGAATAGAAGAAAACTTATTTCTTATAATAAAAGTCATATTTAAAAATCAATAGCTCACATACACTCAACAGTAAAAGAATAAATTCCTAGGCTTGGCACCCATAGCACAGTGGTTACAGCACCAGCCACATACAGTGAGGCTGGTGGGTTTGAACCCAGCCTGGGCCAGCTAAACAACAATGACAACTGCAACAAAAACAAGCTGGGCATTATGGCAGGTGCCTGTAGTCCCAGCTACTTGGGAGGCTGAGGCAAGAGAATCACATAAGCCCAGGAGTTTGAGGTTGCTGGGAGCTGTGACATCATGGCACTCTACCGAGGGTGACATAGTGAGACTCTGTCTCAAAAAAAAACAACAGGATAAATCCCTAAAATCAGCAATAAGACAAAGATGACAGCTTTTGCCACTCTATTCAACATAATACTAGAAGTCCTAGCCAAAGAAATTGTAAAAAAAAAAGAAAAAGGAAAAAGAAAAGAAAAAAAAGTCCAAAATTGAAAACAGAGTTAAGCTAAATTGAAGAATATAAAATCGGCTCGGCGCCTATAGCTCAACCGGCTAAGGTGCCAGCCACGTACACCTAAGGTGGCGGGTTCAAATCCCCAGCCTGGACCCGCCAAACAACAATGACGGCAGCAACCAAAAA